ATATTCTCAGGTGAGGGTTACCAAAAAAAGGATAAATATTTGTTGAATGGATTGTGGTGTGTATACTATTTTATAAATGAGAAAACAAGTTATTTAAAATTTCTACTTCCTTTAGGTCACACAACTAGTTATGAGCAGAGCTAGGATTAGATCAGTGATTCTCAGTTCCTTGTTGAAGAATGTTCTATTACCTCATGGTGACAGGATACATTGAAAATAACTGAGCAGCCATCAGTATGATATTTATCTGGCAGTATGGAATGGTATATAACAGGTTTGGGAATCAGAGGCCTATGTTCAAATCTTGGCTTATTTACTTACTAGCTATGTGGATTTAGGCCTGTACTTAATTTCTCTGAGCTTCATCTATAAATTGGAAAAATTAATAGTACCTCAGAGAGTGATTATGAGGGTGAGGGCTAAATGTGAAAGTGCATAACATATGGTAGGTTCTCAATAAATGTTAGTTTCTTTCCTTCCTTTTGGGAATGTGTGCTAACCATTTGGTATTATTAATGGGGATAACACATTTATTCCATATCTGTGGCTTTATTTCTTAAACTTTTTTTGAAAATAATATACACATTACATTTTATTTTATTTTAATATATGTTTATTGATTTCAGAGAGGAAGAGAGAGGGAGAGATAAAAACATCAATGATCAGAGAGAATCATTGATCAGCTGCCTCCTGCACACCCCTCACTGGGGATTGAGCCTGCAACCCAGGCATGTGCCCTGACCAGGAATTGAACCATGACCTTGTGATTCATAGGTCGACACTCCATCACTGAGCCACACTGTGTGGGCTACACATTACATTTTAAATAATAACTTATAAACTTTATCACTCTAATTTAACATTTTGGCATATTATCTCATATATTACATAGCTGTAACCAAAGTGTTCTGTATTCATATATAACTTGACTTTTCCCTGTTTCAGCTGTCTTAGAATTTGTATTGTTACCTAGTATTCCACTATGTCAGTTTAACCTAATTTAATAAAACATTCCCCTAATGATAAACATTTACATTGTTTACATTCCTTTTGCCAGTATAAATAGTGCTTTAGATAATATCTTCTACTTTCTGAATTCCTTCATCCTGTGTACTTTTGGTAACAAATTTCTTACTTCATACTGCCCCCTTTTCAAGGAAAAAACAACCACATTAAGAGACCAAAGCTTAAAGCTTTTTGTTTGCAAATAATGTGTTATTGTTTGTAACTGTAGCTGTCTTGCTTCTTTTGAATTATTTCCTAGAATAAATTTCTGCAAGTAGAGATGCTAGGTCAAAGAGTGTAACACTTTTATAATCTAGTGCATTTTATCATAGTTTCAACTTTCTGGGTCATGTGGACAGTATAGGGGGAGTGAAAAGAACACTCTACTGGCCATCTTATGTCATCCCTAACTTTGGTACTAGCTAGATGTGAGATCTTGGGTTGGTCACCGCTTTTTGAATTTCTGTTTTCTCATCTGTACATCTAGTATGTTGCATTAGGTGATTATTCTGGTCCCCTTTACTTCTGACATCCTACAATTTTTTATACTAAAAGGTAGAGGCTGTTACCCATTCCTTAATGCAAACTGTATTATTTTGTTTATTTCCTCCCTAAAAGACTTACCTAAGGAAAAGTTCTTATACCAGCCTTAGTTGTTCAGTGGAACTTTTGCTCTCTTGGAACTTCTTTTAGAGGGAAGCAGTTTACAAAACCCATTCACAAACAGATGGATCCATGGGATATTTATGTCTTATAGAGATAGGAGGAAAAAAAGCACCTTGTTTGAAAGATCTTGGTTAGGTAACAGAAATTGGAAGAAATATAGGAACCACTACTACCTGTTTAATGCCAAGTATTTCAGGCCTTCTTTCTACTTCTCCTGTGCCCACAGGAACTAACAAAACTCCTAACATGACATGAGCAGTGTCTGTGGTTTGCCTTCCTATTTGTCTTGTCCCCTTTCCATATAAACTTCCTGTGGGTACTTCTTTTTTGGGTGCCAATACTGGAACTTAACACATTCTATCTCTGACACATTTTAGGCAGCTGACACACAGGAGTTTGGGACCAAACTGCACAAATCATTTTATGAAGTCACCCAGCACCAAGTTCTTCACCACTGCTCGTGTGAGGTGAAGCAGGTAATTGTAAAGTAATAATCAGTTCTTTGGTGGAAATGTTCCATATCGATGTATGAGAGCCCTGTATACAGGGTGGATAGGTACAGGTGCCTTAGATGACATAATCTGAGGTTAGCTTTTCAGCAAGGAAACCTGTGGTTTAGAAAAACTTCATAGAATGTAGTATTACATAGAGGTTAAGAGCATGGTTAGATGTTTCTCGATTTCTGTTTCTGTCACTCACCAGTTGTGTAGTATTATGGAACCTATTTAACCTTTATAAACCTCAGTTTCTTTATCAGTAAAGTGTTCTGATGCGTACCCAAAGTGATTGTTGTGAGATTTGGGTAAAATAATGTATGTATGTAGACTGCTAAGCACATCGCTACTCATAATGGTGATGATATGATAGAATTTTTATGTTTAGTTTTGCCTAATCAAACACATACTTTTATCTATTCACCTTTTTGGATGCTGAAGATATAGTGTTGCATTGGGGTCCCTACCCTCAAGAAGGTCACCTGGTTTTGTGACAGGCTCCTCTATTGAGTGAAGAGAAATTATAGCTAGGAAATTCTGTATCTCAATTTCAGGTGTTGCTGGTGGTAGTGTTCCAACTGAAGTCCATTCTTCTAGCTCTCTTGGCTCCAATCAGTAGGTTTGAATTTTCTGGAGCTAAAGTATAAGATGAGTAAATAAAAAAGATTATGGGTGAAATTATTATACAGTAACTTCAGGCCAAGATGGAGTAACGGGGACCAGATTTACCCTCCTGCCTGAAATAGCAAAAAATCTGGACACAACATCTGAAACAGTGGTTTTTAAGATACTGGGTATCGGACAATGAGTGGGCTAGTCATTCCTGAGAGATGAAAAACAAATGCAGTGAGCCCTGTGATTGCCCTAGCATACTGCCTACAGAAACTACGGAGGCCGTGGAGCAGGGAGAGGGAATCCAGTCATCTCCCTGAGTTGAATAGATGGTGTTGGGAATTCAAGGATGCCAAGGCAGCTAGAGTTTTCAGGGCAGAGTACCAGAGAAGAGGGAGCTTCACCGAGAGAGAAATCTAGAGATATAGAGGCTCCCCCTCTGGTATTCAATTGAGTACTGATCAGCTCATTCATGTGGAGAAACTATCCAGGTAAAGAACCATCTAGAAGGAGTAGAGGGAACAATATGAAGAGCTCACACAGGGATAGGACTAGTTACTATTCCCATAAACCAGAGAGGAAAGCTTATAATTTATAGAGCATCAGGTGGAACCCTAAGAAAGGTCTTGTCTCAGGAATGGAGGAAGTTAAACCTACGATAAACACTCCTCTGGTCCTGCCTTAAAGAGCTTAAAAACAGAAGCAAGACCTAAAAGGATCAAGTGTTTCCAAGGAATTCGGTGGCATCACAAAACAAAGTTCAAAAATATTTATAGGAATACAAAAATACCAGCATCCATCAAGGTAATAGTCACAGTGCCTTGCATCCAATAAAAAAAATTAACAGGCGTGGTAAGGAACAGGAAATACAACCCACAATGAAGAGAAAACTCAGTTGGTCAACCAACTATTCAATTAGAAGTTTTCCAGAACCGACAGAGAAAATATAATTAGTAGACAAAGACATTGAAGCAGTTATTATTATAATTGTATTCCATATGTTCAGGAAGATGGAGGAAAGAGTGAACATGTTATGTAGTTCAAAACATTACCACAGTATTCAGAATATTTATAAACTCTCAAAACTCAATAAGAAAACAACCCAATTTTTTAAATGGGCAAAAGATTTGAACACACATTTCACAAAAGAAGAGAAACAGCAAATAAACATATGAGAAAGATGCTCAACGTCATTAGTCATTAGGGAAATACAAATCAAAACCACAATAAGATACCATTTCACACCCACCTGGAGTAAAAAGGCCGCCATACCAGGTGTTGACAAGGATGTGAGGACCTGGAACTCATATACCCTATTTGTAGGAATTAAAAATGGTACAACCACTTTAGAGAACAGTTTGGCATACAACCCAGCTATTCTCCTAGGTATTTACCCAAAAGAAATGAAAGCATATGTCCACACAAAAACTTACACATTAATGTTCATGGCATCTCTGACATATTTCTAATAGCCAGAAACAAAACAACCCGGTGTCGACAGGTAAATGGATAAACAATTGTGGTATATCAATTCAAGGGACTACTACTCAGCAATAAAAGAAATGGACTGTTGATACACAAAATAGCATGGATCTAAAGTATGAGTAAAAAAAATAGCCATACTGAACTTTTTTAAAACCTAGAAATACAAGAGTACATACTATTATTTTTATGTAAAACCCTATAAAATGCCAACTAAGCTATAGTTACAGATCAGTGGTTGCTTGAAGATGGAAAGTATAGGAGTTGGAGGGAGTCATTTTTAAGGGCAGAAGAAACTTTTGAGGGAGATGATTATATTCATTATCTTGATTGTGGTGATGGTTTCACAAGTATGTACATATGTCAAAACTTATCAAATTGTATACTTTATGTATGTAGTTTGTTGTATGTATGCAAGTTACTAGTATGTCTCAAACTTGTTTTTAAAAATTACAGACACTGTTTTTAAGAGAATAACAGGACCTTTAGCACTTCTGCTCTTCTTTCTCTCCCTCTCCTACTTCTGTTTGCCTGATTGGATGAGGAAGTTGAGATGCCCAGGCACCTAAGGGTTGCAATGAAACCTCCGTAAATGCTCCCTTTACCACACCTTTTTCCGTGGCTATATGTACCTTCTAGGAAGCACCTTCCTAGGAATGTATCAGTTGTTCCATTCCATTGGTTCACTGCTCTTGCTGGTTTCCCTCCAACTTGGAAAGCTGCTTCTCACAACTTGAACAAATAAAAGTGAATGTCCATTGTATCAGTTTCCTATGGTCGCTGTAACAAGTTACCATAAACTTGGTGTTTTAAAAACAACAGAACTTTATTATCTCAGTTCTGGAGTCCAGAAGTCTGAAATCAAGGTGTTAGCAGGGCCATCCCCCCTCCAAACACTCTAGGGGAGAATCCTTCCTCGCTCCTACTAGTTTCTGTTGGCTCCAGATGATCTTTGGCTCATCACTCCAATTATCTGTCTCCATCTTCACATGCCCTTTCCCTTTTGTCTCGCAGATTCCCCTCTGACTTCCTGTTACTGGATTTAGGGCCCACTCTGACTCCACCATGGTCTTATCTTGAGGTCCTTAATCTGCAAAGACCCTTTTTACAAATAAGGTCATATTCACTGGTTGGAGGCGGGAGGCGGGGGGCAGGGGGGTGTGGCGGTAAGACTTAGAGATCTCTTTTGATGGGCCACTATTCAATTTAATAAAGCCATCCATATCTTCAGATTTCTAGGGATAGGTCAGGCTAAGGCATGTGCTATTATCAAAGCACCTGGGATAGATGGGCAGGACCTAGAAGTATTTAAGGCTGTGACATCCTTTTGCTTGGGCCTCTCCTATATCCTAGTGAGATCTCAAAAGGAAATAATCTGACCTCTTTGGTCCCATTCTGTTGCTATAGTGATGACTCATAGCTTCAGGGCCATTCATAGCCCAATTAACGTGGCAGATGGCTAGTGAACCTAAGGTTCATGATTCTGTGCCAAGATTTACACTTTAATTTCCACAAAGATCCTGTGAGGTAGGTTGTGGTTTTTCCATTTTATAGATGAAGAAAATGGTTAGAGAAATTTTCTAATTTGCCCAGAATCACAGTCAGTAAATGGCAAGGGTTGGATTTTTACAGAGGTCTCCTGGCTCTGAAGCTTAGTAACATTGTTACCTCATAGGACTGGATCAGAAGCCCAGTGAAGATGAGTAATCAGAGGCATTGAGTAGAATTCATGCTTCTCCACTAAGATTGTTACTGTTTTCCTCTGATAATGGCCACTTAGTGATAACTTCTGTGGTTGTTATTGTTGTTAATCCTCACCAGAGGATATTTTTCCATTGATTTTTAGAGAGTGGAAGAAAGGGGGAGAGACAGAAACATGGATATGAGAGAAACACATCGACTGGTTGCCTCCCACATGAGCCCTGACCAATGCCTGCAACCTGGGTACATGCCCTTGACTGGAATCGAACCTGGGACCCTTCAGTCTGCAGGCCAACTCTCTATCCACGGAGCCAAACTGGCTAGGGCTAGTGATAACTTTTTAATGGCACAAGAGTGGCACCCAGTGGCTTAGCTAAAAATTACAAGATCAATGATAATAGGTCAAATTCTTTTACCTCTAGACCAGCGGTTCTCAACCTGTGGGTCGCGACCCCTTTGGGAGTCCAACAACCCTAAGGCCATCGGAAAACACATATATAATTACATAATGTTTTTGTGATTAATCACTAGGCTTTAATTATGTTCAATTTGTAACAATGAATATACATCCTGCATATCAGATATTTACATTATGATTCATAACAGTAGCAAAATTACAGTTATGAAGTAGCAACGAAAATAATTTTATGGTTGGGGGTCACCACAACATGAGGAACTGTATTAAAGGGTCGCAGCATTAGGAAGGTTGAGAACCACTGCTCTAGACCAACCAGTCCCTCAGTTTCCATTTCTAAACAGGTAAAGTAGACGTGCTGACCTCTGGAGTGGTAAAGAATAACACCATCTGTGGCCATTATATAGCTTATGGAGGATGGAAGAAATGAGAGAATATATTTTTAGAGTTTTCTAGAATATATGCAGGGAAAGGTTATACCAGGAATGGAGATTTTCAGCTTGGGTATTGAAACAGCAGACAGTGGGCTGTGAAGCAGTCAGTAAGATAGTACTCCAGGGCTTCGTATCACAGATGTATGTAGGAACTGAAAACTGAAACTCAAGTAGGATCAATAACAGGAAGGCAGCTTTCTAAGGAAAAGTATTGTAATCTGGGGTGGGGTGGAGGGGAGAGCAAAACTAAATGTCTCAGGGTGTTAAATCCAAGGAGGTGTATCCAAGGATAGCTAGGTCCGTCTTATCTGGGGAACCTGCTGATGAAGGGTACACAAGGCTCCTCTGAGCCTCAGTGCTTTATATCTGAATATGGGTATTTCCTTATAGACCAATATCAAGATAGGAGGTTTATCTATTATATGAGATTTTTCTAGGCTAGAGTGAAATAAAAGAATAAACTTTATCTCAAAGAAGAAAAAACGTGGGGGATGGGGACAATATTTGGAAATTTTCCTAATGCTATTTCTTTTTTCACATCTTTGGGGCCATCTTTACCCCTTCTATGTTCCCTGGAATATAATTACTTAGAAATGGAAACTTATTTTAGTAAACAGTATGATATAATATTTATTTTTAATCCATTATAATTCATGTTCCACAAATTTTACCATTTTAAATTGTACAATTCAGTGGTTTTAAGTATATTTACTATTTGTGCAACCATCACCACTAAATTCAAGAATATCTCCATCATGCCAAAAAGAAAACCTGTACCTGATTTGCAGCCAGTACCAAATTCTCCTACTCCCATTCCTTGGTAACCACTATTCTACTTTCCATCACTATGGATTTGCCTGTACTGGGCATTTTATATAAATGGAACATACAGTAAGTGGTCTTTTGTATCTGGCTTCTTTCACTTAGCATAATGTTTTTAAGATTCATCCATGTTATAACATGCAACAGTACTTCATTCCTTTTATGGTTGGTTGGACTAGACGCCCAATGCGTGGATTCTTGCACCAGTGGGGTCCCCCGGCCTGGATTCATCCAGGATGTGTTCGGCCCCTCTTGTCCAGCCCCAATTGGCCGGATCCCAGCAGCAAGCTAACCTACCAGTCAGAGCATCTGCCCCCTGGTGGTCAGTGCACGTCATACCTACCGGTCGAACTGTCAAATGGCCGCTTAGGCTTTTATATATATAGAGATAATATTTAATTGTATGGATGTATAGTAGTCCCCCCTTATCTGCAGGGGATACATTCCAAGACTCCCAGTGGATGCATGAAACTGGGAATAGTACCAAACCCTATATATACTATGTTTTTCCCTATGTATGCATACCTTTTCATTTAAATGAATTAATGTTTTTACACAAGCACTGTGATACACCAGCAGTCAATCTGATAACCAAGATGGCTATTAACATGCAGGGAGTGTCTACAGTGTGGATATGCTGGACAAAGGGAGGGTTCATGTCCTAAGTGGGATGGAGTGGGACAACATGAGTTTTCATCACACTACTCAGAATGGTGTGCAATTTAAAATTTATGAATTGCTTATTTATGGAATTTTCCATTTAATATTTTTGGACTGAGGTTGCCCATGGGTAACTGAAACCACAGAAAATGAAGCCGTGGATAAGTGCGACATTTTATTCCTCCCTTTATCAGTTGGTGAACATTTGTGTTATTTCCACTTTTTGGCTATTACGAATAATGCTGCTACGAACATTTTTTGTGTGGATATGTTTGTAATTCTCTTGGGCATATATCTAGTAAAATTGCTGGGTCATAACTCTGTATCTAACTTTTTGAGGAACTTCCAAACTATTTTCCAAACCGGCTGCATCATTTTACTTTCCCACCAATACTATATAATGGTTACAATTTTTCCATATCCTCACCAATACTTGTTATTGTCTACTATTATTATCATCATTATAATGGTTATAAAGTATCTAATAATGGTTTTGATTTACATTTCTATAATGACTAATGATGTTAATCATCTTTTCATGTGCACATTGGGCATATGTATCTCTGGAGAAATGTCATTCAATTCCTTTGTCAAACCATTTTTTAATTGGATTATTTGTTGTTTTATTGCTGAGTTATATGAGTTCTTTATTCTTGATACAAATTCCTTATCAGATATGATTTGCAAATATTTTTTCCATTCTTATGTTGACGTTGAACCAAATGTGGCAGGGCTTTTAAAGGCTACTGAGGACTATAAAACGTGCCCTGTGGTCAGTCATATTTTTTGAGCATTTACCCTGTGCAAGGTACCATGCTAGATATAAAGAAATGTAAGCATGATGAACCTTACCTTTCAAGGAGTTTGACAGAGAAAAATGGACATCGACATATAAAAATAATGAACAGGGGCATGCAGTAGCTACTACAGAGCCTGAGAAGTGGGGCAGACGGTAGGTGAGTGACCAGAGTTCAGAGGAGTAAGGAAATGCTGGAGTAAGCTGCAAAGGCTCTAACAAAAGGAAACCTTGGAAGTTGGAGGTGGGTAGGAGGATTCACATGAGCCTTCTGCAAAACTAACTTAGGACTTCTAATTTTTAAGCAACTGCACCCAGAGAAAAATGATACAGAGGAGAGCACAGAGGGTGCACATGAGAACAGCAGCCCGGAGCTCCATGCAGGTAAGGTTTCAGCTTTTTAGTCAGCTCTGGATCAAAGCTGGGAAGTAAAAAGCATAACTTCAAGACCTTCAAACTGCACCTTTCACCATAGCAGTTTCCGCCTGGGATTTGGTTGGCTCCCACCACTACTATGGGTGTTCTGGGGCAGTAGAAGGCATTCCATCTCAAAAGCTGATATGATAGGACTAGCAAGTTCTCATAGCTTGTGTAGTTATAGATGTGCATGATGGGGTGGGGCCCTGAATCCAGTTTGTTCATGTCTTTTCTTGATTATTAGTATTGATACTATAACTCCTTAGTTTTGTTTACCAATCTGTTTGGGGCTCTGGAGGCTGCTCCTGGGTGCAGACACCACCTTAACTTTGATGTGTTATAGGGAGGTGTCAGTGTATGTGATGTGATGGTGATCATACTGCAGGGCCAGGGATGAATACATGTAAATGGCTGGAAATAACCATAGACACTGGTGCCTGAACCTGTATGATGCAGGTGCCAGGCACTGTTCTGAATTTTTAAAATGTATAAATGCTCTTCTCAAAATAATACCTAGGTATAGGTACTATTATTTTCTCATTTTTTTTTTTTTAATATATTTTATTGATTTTTTTTACAGAGAGGAAGGGAGAGAGATAGAGAGTCAGAAACATCGATGAGAGAGAAACATCGATCAGCTGCCTCCTGCACATCTCCCACTGGGGATGTGCCCGCAACCAAGGTACATGCCCTTGACCGGAATCGAACCTGGGACCTTTCAGTCCGCATGCTCTTCTCAAAATAATACCTAGGTATAGGTACTATTATTTTCTCATTTTACAAATGAGGAAATTGAGGCCCAGGTGTTAATAAACCTACCCGAGGTCACACAGCTAGTAAATGGCAGAGCCAGAAATCAAACCCAGGCAACCTGGCTCATCTGTCTCTAATGGGGATGCATTGTCCGACAAAACAGTGCTTTAAATTTGCCCAAGTGAATCAGTTAATAGGAAGGCTGCCTATTGGCACTGCCCAATACACTGAGAGAAGTGAGGTCAGATTTCGGGCAGGAGAATCAGCTTGGCAGGGAGGGAGGAGCTGGAAAGTGCAAACTCCACGAAGAATCTGTGCAGTGATCAAGTGAGGTTTTGGTACAATCCACACGCCCCTTCTCAGGCTTAACTGAGGCGGAATAGAGAGACGTGATACCATTCTGCAGCCTCAGCCTGTACCTGAAGGCCTGGGGCTGCTGGGTTTTGATCAGGACAGGAACTGAAGGAACAGCTCTGAGGTGGGAGAGCTGAGAGCTGGGCCCAGCTCCTCCCCCCCCCCCCCCACCCCCGGTTTCCCCCAAGGGCCTTTGCCAGCACAGGGCCAAGGGATGAGTGTGTGTTTTCTCCTAGGGACCAGCGGCAAGTAGCCAACAAGAAGTTTAAGAAGGGCAGCCTCCACCAGGTCCTGGAGGGAACATGGGCTTTCCCCTCTGCCAGGGCCCCGAGTCCGTCAGAGCCTCCTCTGCGGCGTGGGGAGCCCCCCGCGGCCTCCATGACTCCTAGCGGAAGCAGGGCGGACCCCGGGAACAGCCCGGAGGTAATGAGGCGAGGGCTGCGCAGGGGAGGGCGGGGACCCGGCCGCTACCCGGACGTCCTCACTCCGAGCCCCGCTTCCTCTCGCAGGACGCACTGTGGCTGCAGGAAGTCTCCAACCTGTCCGAGTGGCTGAGTCCCAGCCCCTGAGCCAAGCCCTCTCCCCCGCGCCTCCGCATCGGCTTGGCAGATGTTGAGGACACGTGTAGTCTGTTGTTCAATAAACCTGCTCCGTGAGCTCTGGGTTTGTTTCAGTGTCGAGGGCGGGGCCGAGGACCCGCGCCGCCGGATGACGTAACCAGAGCTTCCCGCAGGCGCGGGCCGAGACAGCCGGTGGCGTCACTGTTGCGCGCCGCGGTCCGGGCGCGATGGCGGCGCTGGGCGGGGACGGGTTGCGTCTGCTGTCGGTGTCGCGACCCGAGCGGCAGCCCGAGTCGGCGGCTCTGGGAGGTCCGGGCCCCGGGTTGTGCTGCTGGGTGTCTGTGTTCTCCTGTCTCAGCCTCGCCTGCTCCTATGTGGGCAGCCTCTATGTCTGGAAGAGCGAGCTGCCCAGGTGCGGGGGCTGCGCGCGCGGCGGAACCCGCGCCTCCACCAGGCGGGGCTGCGGGCTGCGGGCGGAGCTTGGGGCGAACTGAGGGCGGGGCTGCGCTGTCGGAGGGCGACTTTGGGCCCCTGAACTTAATGCCCCCTCCGTAGGGACCACCCTGCCGTCATCAAGCGGCGCTTCACCAGTGTCCTAGTGGTGTCCAGTCTCTCGCCCCTCTGCGTGCTACTCTGGAGGGAACTCACAGGCATCCAGGTGCAAAGGAGGCGGGGCAGAGGGCAACAGGGGAGAGATCGCAGGGGTCTTTGGGGGAGGGAGCAAGACTGATGCTTCCTTTCCTGTGGCTCAGCCAGGCACATCCCTGCTCACGCTGATGGGCTTCAGGCTGGAGGGCATTTTCCCAGCAGCACTGCTGCCCCTGCTGCTGACCATGGTGAGTCCTCCATTACCTTTCCTCCTCTGTTCTTTGTATTAGCATGACGCTCCTTTCTGTGACCTTTTTTACTTATCCTGCTTGTGTCCAATATGTGCCTGATGGGAGACAGGAATTGTGAGATGGCTCGAGGCCCTCGGGTATGCATTGGTGGGGAAATCCCGGCTGAGAATAGGAAACTTGAGGCCTTTTCTGGGCAAAAGCAGTGGATTATAGTTGAAGCCTTTCATTTGATTGCTCCTGTTTTTGTGTCTCCAGATCCTTTTTCTGGGCCCACTGATGCAGCTCTCAATGGATTGCCCCCGTGACCTGGCAGATGGGTTAAAGGTTGTCTTAGGTGAGTCCTCAGGGCTGAGGGAAAAAGTAAGCAGGCAGTCCAGGACAGAGGGAATCATGATGGGACCTGAACATGAGATGTGAGATGTTTTATATTTCCTCACCAGTAAGATGGGAACATATAGCAGGTGTCCTTTAAGCGTTGGTTCCTGATGTTTAGGGATCCTCCTAGGGACCCCTAAAAGTGTATTTGGTGTCGACTAGAGAGCATTTCTATTTCCCCTAACCTTCGGCTTCTCTAAGCAGAGTTAGTCTTGGCAGATTTTGATGTTTCCAGATATCCTACCTCAGCTACTAATGGCCTTCCCGTTGTCTTCTTGAGACATTGTCTTATGCTGATAAACAAAGCTGGACCCTTATATGTTCTGAGTATGCATGCCTAACCTGAGTTTGGCCAGGAAAAGATTGTGGGAGGCCTCTAGGGCAGTGGTTCTCAACCTTCTGGCCCTTTAAATACAGTTCCTCATGTTGTGACCCAGCCATAAAATTATTTTCGTTGCTACTTCATAACTGTAGTGTTGGTACTGTTATGAATCGTAATGTAAATATCTGATATGCAGGATGGTCTTAGGTGACCCCTGTGAAAGGGTCGTTCGACCGCCAAAGGGGTCGCGACCCACAGGTTGAGAACCGCTGCTCTAGGGTCTCTCTTCAATAGCTAGCCACTCATTGCTTGTCTTGAATCCCCTCCCTAGCCCCTCGCTCCTGGGCCCGCTGCCTCATGGATATGCGTTGGCTTCGGAACCAAGTGATTGCGCCCCTTACAGAGGAGCTAGTGTTTCGGGCCTGCATGCTGCCCATGTTAGCACCGTGTACGGGCCTGGGCCCTGCCGTGTTCACCTGCCCACTGTTCTTTGGAGTTGGTGAGTGTGCAACCTGGTCCTCTGAGATGTTCCTAGCATGAGAGCTGAGAATGGGGCTTGGGGCAACGGTAGGGCATAGAGAGGGCAGGCTGAGAGCAATGTGATGTGGTTCTCGCCTTCTTCCTAGCCCATTTTCACCACATTTTTGAGCAGCTTCGATTCCGTCAGAGCAGTGTGGGGAGCATCTTCTTGTCTGCAGGTGAGTCCTAGAGAGCGTGCCTGGAGTAATCCTGGATTGGGGGGCGGGGTGTGTGAGGGTGTCCCTAAATTAGCTACTATGAAAGAATTGGGAACAGAGGGCTATAATATTGGAGGGGCCAGGATTTGGGGTGTAGAGGACAGCTGTAGGTGCTGGGGCAGGGGGAAGGGGAACTCTGGCTGGTGGGTGTACAGTGCTGGGACAGGAAGGGCATGCAGGTGTGGTCACTCATGGCCTCCCTGTTTCCAGCGTTCCAGTTCTCCTACACAGCTGTCTTTGGTGCCTACACTGCTTTCCTCTTCATCCGTACAGGTTGGTCCCCAGTCCCTCACAATGCCCAGGTGTTCAAGGGCCCACAGGAGTAGGTGGGAGAATGGGAAAACTGTGTTTATGAGCAATTTTTTTTTTTAACCGTAGTCCTTGAGACAGGCTAAGGCAGGGCCCTCAGCCTGGTGAGGTTTGAGAGGTGGAAGCAAGCAGAGGCCATGGTGTGTGGGTGGACAGGTGGGACACTGATCTCCTGTTCCAGGGGATGAGGGTAATTACCCGAAGAGGTGGTGGGTCTACTCTAGAGCTGTTCTGTCTCCCTTTCCCAGGACACCTGATTGGGCCAGTTCTCTGCCACTCCTTCTGCAATTACATGGGCTTCCCTGCTGTATGTGCAGCCCTGGAGCATCCACAGAGGCGGCCCCTGCTGGCAGGCTATGCCCTGGGTGTAGGACTCTTCCTGCTTCTACTTCAGCCCCTTACGGACCCGAAGCTCTACGGCAGTCTTCCCCTTTGTGTGCTTTTGGAGCAAGCAGGGGACTCAGAGGCTCCCCTGTGCTCCTGACCCATGCTCCTGTACACCTATGAACTCTCATGGGCTCCTCAGCCCCTCCCCGTCAAGGGGTACTGCAGGGGAGGAGCTGGCTGGGGTCCCGAGATCTCAGGAATTTTTGTAGGGGATTGAAGCCAGAGCTAGTTAAATCCCAGGGACCAAGAGAAAGGAGCAGATAGCCAAAGGGTGCAGCCCCTCTTGAAAGGGGAGGAGCAGGCCCCAGGAGCTGTGCACTCCCTCCCTCACTGTGGACTGCTGCTTCTCAGCTCCTCTGTCCCTGAAAAGCTGCTGAGGGATAGAATTTACAGAAACCCCTCTCCCCCCAACTTCCCAGGGTTTTCTCACTGTCTTTTTGCATCAGGACTTTGTATTGGGATATTAAAGAGATTTAACTTGGGTAACATGGCCTTGGACCTTTGGGAATTAGTCTGTTTGGAGTCTTGGGAGTATGCCTGGTAGGGACAGTTCCCTGCAGTAGGGGGACAGGATGGGGGCCTCTGTCTGACTTGGGTCTCGTAGCTTCCTTCTTACTGAGCGAGGCTCCAAGTCTTAGCAGAGGTGGATCTGGGACTGTAGGTACCAGGTGTGGGCCCACTCATTTTAGGGCCTGTGACTTGGCCACCAGGAAGTGGAACCCAGCACCCTGACCCCAGTGATAGAGCCTCCAACTTGTGTCTCCTGAGCGGGGGGAGTGTCGCCTCCACCAGGATCTCCCCAAAGTCTACCAGCCTCGAATTATGTAAGAGCAACTAGACCCAAAACGTTAGAAGAACCAGTTCAGATTACATGGAAGTAGAGACTGTTCTAGTTGTCTCCATCTTGGATCTCTGCCACCATGCTGCTTGTCTGTCCCTGGAGGAATCCGTAACAAAGGCCTTGAAGAGAGCGCTGTAACTCAAGGTTCTTAGAACCTGCTCGTCCTCTTATTTTTAGAATGGTTTTCAGGTCCCATTCCAGACTCTAGGAGGGTGTTCTGAGTCCCATTCTCTGAGGCTGGTGGTGGAAGGAAAGGAAACGGGTGTGCAGTCACTACTCATGGCGCCCTCAGGCTGGCTGTGGCTGTCACACACCTACCTTGTGGAGAGCTCTGTGTAGCAGCTGTTGGAGGCAGAGGGGTGAGCATAGACCTGTTCAGAGGGTACCTTTGGGATCTTGGAGACCAAAGAGGAGGAAGCCCAGGCCCACGCCAAAGATTAGGTTATAATACCCTGGGAGCACTGAGCTGGCAGGGTGCTAGGATGGATCCCTGGGAATCAGAGTATCTAGGCTCTGCCCCTCCTCTTCCTCTTATTCCTTCTCAGGAACTGTCTCCCCACCCCCACCATCCTCACCTCCCTATGCAGTGGCAGCAGTACAGTGGTGCAGGCAGGGTTACTGTTTCACCCTGCTGGTGGGGAACGGGCTCAGGATAGGATTCTCCTGAGAGCTAATAATGGGGGATGGGCTGGATTAGATCCCAAGAATCTCCATCGAGTGCTCCCAGCCTCCCACCAAAATTCTCATACCTGGAGGTTCCTATACTGAGGGTCTCGCCTGCTTCCCAGAACTGGTGCCTGTTTGCATCCAGTCCTAAAAGAATGGGGTGTGAGGTTGGCCCAGGGTTTAGAATGTAAAGCAGTTGGTTGGGAAGCAAGTTTACTGGCAGCCTAGGTTTGAACCCTCTGCCTCTTACTAGCTGTGGGGTCTTTCCTATGACTCCATCTGTGTCCATAAAACGGGGAAAGGTTGATTACCTGAGCCACTTCCTCCACCCACCCAAGCTCTCAGTAATTTGGGGGTGTGTATACAGTAGGTACTCAGTAGTAGCTTAAATCAAGGCCACTACTGCTATCCTCACTACCCTCCAAGGAAGAAGATACAGCTTGCCTGGGGAGTCAAAGGGGCAGCTCTGCCCTCTGTGAATGGCATGTGGGGTGGGCTGCAAAGGACCCACGATGGAGGGCAGGTGAAAGTCAGTTTTATTGAGCAAAGTTCTCAAGACCTGGGGCCCAGGTTCCTAACCCCCTTTCCAAGGTAGGACCTCCCAAATCTGCTCTCTAGAATCCTAGGCCCACCTGTGCCACCACCTC